ATTTATTTCTCACTCACCGAAAATCAGTTTTGAGAAAATAAATATACCACGAGTATCTACTCGGAACGTAGAATTTTTCTACAATATTTAATTCAACTAAAATTAAATATCTAGCCATCAAAAATTCAGTCAAAACCGGGTCAAACCCAAGTTTTACAACTGATTTTTCCAACAACATCAATATTAAACCAAAATTGTATGGAATGTTTGTCCCATATTCATCGGGAATGAAACTTCTCAGCTGATACCTAAGTTGCGCTGGCTACAGGTGTCCCGGTTGGTTATCATCATTGATTTTAGGTCGTCCGATTAATCGCGATTAATCGTCCATGTCGTTCCCAAGTGCTCGATTAGGAGGTCCGACCCGACCAGCTCGACCATAAACCTGGTCGTCCGATTAATCGACGAATAATCGCGATTAATCGTCCGACCAGGGCATATGGACGACCAGGACATATATTTGTCCTTTGGGGCTGGTATGTGGGCTGCTCGGCTTGGCTTGTTTGGCCTGTTAGGGTTAGGATATATATAGGAAGGAGGCAGCCAAGGACAGCTGACGGCTGCAATTCTTTCCCCCACAGTCCACTTTCCCCGTCTCCCGCGCTCACTTTCCTCCCTTCCCCCGCGAGTTCCTCCCTTCCCCGCGCTTTTCCCCTTCTCTCGCCTCCTCTCTGTCAGTCTGGAGCAGCAGGGACAAACAGGGAGCCCTCTCGCCTCCTCTCTTGCACTCTGGTGAGCAGCAAGGACAGGGAGCCCTCTTGCCTCCTCTCTTGCAGTCCTAGTCTGCATGATGAGCTACTCCGACGATGGTATGTGCCTTTCCCATCTCCATCTTCTTCACTCCTCACCTTCCCCATCCCTCACTCTATGTCCCTCTATACTTGTGCAGATGTGGACCGACGTCGTGCAAATGTGGAAGTGATAATGCCTCAGCTTGACACTGAAAGAGATGTTCCTCCAGAATCTGTTGGGTCAGATGCTGCCTCATCTGCTTTAGATAATCCTTCCCTAATTGAGAGGGCTATAGAAAAACTACCTCCAGATCTACAAACCCAAGCTGTTGGCAAAAAGAGGAAGGCAAGGTCACAAGACCCAGGATGGAAGTATGGGTGGTGGGAAGATCTAACCAAGAAAGACTTTGTGACATGTATATTTTGCAGGAAGATGGTGCCTTCGGGCATAAGTAGGTTCAAGCATCACCTTGCTGGATGCTATGGAGATGTTCTTGGCTGTCCTAGATGTCCAGAAATAGTTAAGAAAAAGATGTTGGCTTACTTCAAAAAGAATTCAAGGATTGTTCCTGTGGCGGCACAAGTTGAAGATGAAGAGGAACAAGTTGATGCTGTTGTAGAAGAAGCTGAAGCTGCAGCTGAACCAGTACCAAGTTCTGGAATAAAAGTTAAGCAAGTCAAGAAGAAGATTGCTCAGGCTAGCATAAGTGCTGCAGCAAAACCAGGAACTCAAAAATATTCTAGGTCAGTGAGTTCCATGCTTTGCAAGTCACCAGAGGAAGTAGTTGCAGAGAGGCACAAGTCCAAGCTAAGTCAACCTACACTTGAGCACTGCACAAAGAAAAGTAAGGAGGCCAAAGAAATTGTTGATAATCATGTTGCAGATTTCTTTTATGAGAATCGCCTTCCATTGAATGTCATTAATTCAAGAAGCTTGGAAATTTTGGTTGAGTCAATTGGACAATATGGTCCTGGGTACCGGTTACCATCATATCATGAGATTAGGAATCCACTCCTTGAAAAGGCTGTAACTAGAACATCAAAGTTGAGGAAGAAGCATGAGGAGGCATTGAAGGAATATGGTTGCACCCTAATGTCGGATGGGTGGACTAGCCCAACCCACCGACATCTCATCAATTTCCTTGTTAACAGTCCAGCAGGAACTTTTTTTTCTAGGGTCTGTTGATGCTTCAAGGAGGTAGCAAGTACAGCTATGTTGGTTGATTTGTTGGAGAAGCAAATTGATAAGATTGGGAAGGAACATGTGGTGCAGATTATAACTGACAATGGAGCCAACTTCAAGGCAACAGGGAGGCTTTTAATGGAGAAGATTTTCCATCTTTTTTGGACACCATGTGCAGCCCATTGCTTGGATTTGTTGCTGGAGGACATTGGGAAGATTCCAAAATTTAACAGTTGCATCAAAATGACAATGAAGGTGACCAGATTTATGTATAAGCATGGGAGGGTTCTAGATCTCATGCGAAATAAGATTGGAGGGGACCTTGTGAGACCAGGTGTAACATGTTTTGCCACTTCATTTCTCACATTGTCATGCATGTATAAGCATTTTCGTGCATTAAGGGGCTTAGTGGTTAGTGAAGAATGGCATGAACTTTCTTACTCTAGCCTCAAGAAGGCCGGCGTGTCGAGAACATTATCCTTTCAGTTCAGTTTTGGGGTAAAGGTGAATCATGCCTAAAAGCTTCACAACCACTTCTTGTTGCACTAAGGATAGCAGATGAAGATGAGACACCAGCAGCTGCTGAGATTATGACAGCCATGGATGTTGCAAAGGCTGCAATCAAGGAATCTTTGAAACACAAACCAGAATTCCTCAAACAAGTGCTACATTATTATGATAATAGATGGGAAAATCAAATGGAGCAGAAGCTGTATGGAGCAACCCTCTTCTTAAATCCAAGCAAATTCTTTGCCATAAAGAAAAAAAACATGAGACAAGCTTCGAGGTTGAGGCTAATGTTTAATCAAGTTATGTGGAAGATGGTGAGTGAGGAGGAGGAGCAAAACAAGATAAGCATGCAGGCTGATGACTATGAGAGGGCTGAAGGTGAATCATTCTCCATGCAAGGAGCAATAAGAGATAGAGATAGAAAAAATCCTAGTAAGTTCTCAAATATGTAATTATGTATAATTTTTCTAATAGCAATCAGCAATGAACTAATAGTTGAATTCTATGTTTGGAATGGAAATTACAGTTCTTTGGTGGGGTGCTTATGGTGGCGCGACATTTGAGCTCCGGTGTTTAGCAAAAAGGATTGTTAGCCTGTGTTGCCCTGCATCTGGATGCGAGCGTAATTGGAGTGATTTTTCTGCTGTAAGTGCTACTGTTCTGCAGCTAAGTAATTGAGTTTGCTAGGTGGTACAATATTGATACATATGGAGTTGTGATGCTGCATTGTATTTTGTGCTGGTCCATACAAAAAAGAGAAACCGGTTAGAGCACCAAAGGTTAAATAAGTTGGTATACGTCAGCTACAATCAGAAGATGGAAAACAGATTTAAAAGAATTAGAGAGTTGGGTTCCAAAGGAAAGAGAAGCAATCCTCTCATACTAGATGAATTCCAATGGGAAAATGAATGGTTAACTGAATTGATTGTGAACTAGTTCAGCAAGGTGGTGTTCAGCAAGGTGGTGGCAATTTGACTTGGGCACAAGTGGATGAAGCTATTGGTGCAACTCAGGAGCTAGAGGGACGTAACATGCCCCGGGCTGCTCATGCTGCCCCTGTGAGTCAGACATATCAGAGGACCAGGAAGCGTCCGAGGACAACGATTTCAGATATTGATGAAGATGGTGATGAGCGCCAAGATCAGAATGCTGAATCCAATTCAGCGACATTAATGGAGGAGGATGAAGTTGCTGCAGCTGAAGATGGAGATGAAGGCTTTCGTGTCAATGATGATTTGCTTGATTAGATGAATAGATGTAGATGGCTATTGCAAGTTGCCTACTTTTGTTGGACTATTGAATGTCAATGTTTGTAACTTTGTGTTGAACACTTTATCTTATCTGTACTGAACCAGTTAAGACTTTGGTTATGTAATATGTTGGTTGTGATGCTGCTATGGTTAAGTGTGTCAAGAACTCTAGATCAAGACTGCATTAGTGTTGCTGCTTGCTAATTACAGTTTCCTTTGCTATTCCAGGCTCCCAGCAGCAAGGCAGCAAACACTTGGAGTTTGGGAAAGGAATATGGACCTTTGGACAGTGTAGAAAAGAGAAGAAAACAACTCCCACAAGTAAGGCACTAATGCAGTCTTGATGCTTCCTTTATTGTCTATAATATAATATATATAGAGGTATATATATATAGAGGATATGTCCTAAAATACCTGGACGACCAGATGGACGACCAGGCTCGATCAGCCCGATTAATCTAGCTGGTCGACGATTAATCACGATTAATCGTCTGGTCGGTCCCTGGTCGACCAAGTTCGACCAGCCGACCTGAAAACACTGGTTATCATCGTCTTCAAGATCCGCCGCGGGAGCTCGGTCATTGACTTATGCATAATATTATTGACGTTGCTTACTCCCATCGTGTACCGCTCTAGTGTTTCTTAGGCTTCAGCCTCTATCCTTGTAAAAAAAAACAAA